AGAGATGCTTGCTCTAGCTCTGGATGAGCAAGTTGAGGTACCAGATGTGTTACAGGACACTGAACCAAGTGTAAAGAGGTAGCACCAGTTTCTGCTGGGCTTGCCTGGCTATTCTGCTTCTCCAGCCTGGACTTAACTGGGCATTTGTTGATTTTTGAACTCACCCTTCCTGGCTTCTCGAGTACAGTTCTCTTTCTTTGTAGTGGTTCAACTTAAACTAAATGACAGAAAGTGCCTTGGTCTTTCTCCATTTGACCTCTGCTACCACATCAAGTTTGGGACATTTACTGGGAATTAGTCAATGGGTACTCAAACTATCTCAACCAGGTACTCAACCTGGGAAGAACCCTAAATTTTGATTTCCCACTTCCATTAGCCATTAGGCTATAACCTAAAAGGACAAATAGCTGTTATTGTTCCATCTGATGTATTTGCAAAAGAGTGACTTTGTTTGCCATAGAACAATTGTAAGCACCACTTTTGGAGATGGATGGCAGTTTCAGGCATGTGGTTTAATCTTATTGAAGCAATATTCATTGGGAGAGTTAATATCTTTTGTTAGATCTGCTGACAGAGTCGGAAAAAGCCTGACGTAGTTGAAAATAAAAAAAGTTAGGAGCCTTTCTGCTCATCCTAGACAGGAGTTGTGTCACTCTGTGACCCTAGCTTACAGCTCACTGTTTTGCTCACATAGAACAGACAATCCTAAAATCAGAGAGGAAAAATCACAGGAACAATGAATATTCAATCCTTTAAATTTCTCGTGTGAAAACAGATAACAGTATATTTTATATTACTTTATTAGGAAGCAGTAAAGGAGGGTTAAAACTCCAGGGCTTTGTTAGTCATACTGCAAGCTACAGTACTGCTGATAACAAGCCACATCTGCTGATAAAGCCATTTCTGAGTGTTCCCTCCCTTCACCTCTTGCTCCTCTCCACGCTCCCATTTAGGCATCTGTAATTAGTGGTGGCCTTCAGCAATAACCAACAGCTCCCAAGCCTCCCTTTTTCCCAGGGCTTTCAGCAGTGGTATCCACTTAAGAGCCTCAGATCAAGTAATGAAGGAAATTTTTCCTGTCCATATAATAAATAACAGCTAATTACTAGGCACAGAGAAGGAGAGAGAGAAATCAGAGAAAATGAAAAGGCAAATATTCAACAATAAAAGGATAGCCTGGGACCAGCATCTTCCTGAGAAGGAAGGGCTGTGAGGACAGAAGGAGGTTGTTTGGTCACCAACAACTGCATAGCACTGAGAAACTTCACATCCAATAAGCCACAGCCTGTGCACAATACCTCATTTACCATTGTGCAAGACATTGTTGTTAATTTCCAGGGAGTGAGTAATAGGAACAACTCCCGTGTGTGCACACACACCCACGTAAGCACAGTTAAAAGCCAGGAGCGTCCCTTCCCCACAGCTGCCCTGTGGGTGCTTCTTTTCAAAGCACCATGTGGCAAAAGTAGCAGCCACTGCTCATAACCAGTGGCTTTATTGCTTTTGGAGCCTTAAAGGATACAGCTCTTGGCCACACATAAGCCTGTCATTAATACATCTTGATAGTGAGGGATAAGCCACTTCCATAGAGAGAAGCGAAATGAGAAGCAGTGATAAAAAACAACCTAAATACCCGTGTGAAGCTGTGGGCTGTTGTTGTACCAGGATGCCTCCATGCAAATTCTGCCTGGCCTGAGCTGAACTCTGGAGTTCTGACAAGAGGCTGAGGGAGATGCTCTACTTCCACAAATCATCCCCTCTGAAATGCATTTTGAGGGTTTAACTGTATTCAGAGCTTCCAGAATTAGAAATGCACAGGGTTTAGTGCAATTAGCTTGCCCAATGTCAAACACTAATGGGAAAAATCACACGAACGTCAGTAGCAGCACTGGGTTCTGTTACAGGAGCAGATGATGCAAGTGCAACAGGGAACCTTTCCCCTAAGAGGTCCATACAACTGGACACTACCAGGCAGTCCTGTCACTGGTATATGTCACGATGTTAGTGCTCACTGTTATCATCCCTGTACTGCTCAGCAGAAGGCTGCTTGAAGAAGTGACAATGACTGCAGCTTCGTGTATTTGAGGCAAACACTGCTGTCTTACTAGACAGGTTTGCATTCTATGATCAGGGAAAGAAAAAATAAATAAATAAAGGAGACTGCATGTTAGAAGGGCACTGAGAGAGCTTTCCCCCTCAAGACTGACAGAACAGCCCTGAGAATACAAAGGACAACATAAGGCAAACATCTGTTCAAATAAAGGGAGTCAGAGAGCTGCCTTTTGTAGCCTTGAAATAATATTCCACCTATAAAAATTAACCACTGTGTTTTTCCCCACACTTTAAACCCTATTCAGTTCTCCTTAGGATTATGTTTACTGGAAAGTTTTGCTTGTGCCATTTCTTTTTGTAGCAAGCTAATTTGTGGTCTGTGTAGCTTAATCACATTTTCTTCTGCCTTCTATTGGCAATACTAGCCCGGGACAAATAAAAGCCATCATTCAAAGGAATAACATACTTTCTTAACACAAGCTGACATAGGAAAGCAAGCGAGAGCTCAGACAATCCCAAACCTGCTCCATTAAGAGATGACGTTTTTAACAATAGATCTGTCGGACCCCACTGGAAATAATGGGGCCCCGTCACATCAGGAATTAGTGCGCGCGACAGGTGATTATGTTCTGGAAATGTTCCAGTGCCAGCTGTGTTGCTTCACGTTATTTGTAACCTCTGTAATTGTGGCTTTTCAAAACCATTTTTATTTGGAAAGCCACGTACAGAAGGACAAAAAAACCCTACTACCATTTGTTCAGGGAGGAAAAAATCAGCATATCAAAGCCTGAACAGTAGTGCCCTGTTTTCTGAATTGCTGGCTTAGACTCCCGTATTCTAACAAAACCCTAAACCCTAATGTAATCATTGTTACATGTTTCCCCCTTTCCTCACAGTCTTGTTACAGTTCCTGCTTACCAATGAATGGACCCACAAGCATCTGCTTAATGCCTGCAAAGAGAATTCCTTCTGAAATATCAGAACTGTGGAAAAGCTGAGTCTGCTCACTAGGCTCACTCCATCAGTAAGTAGGCAGTTTTCTGAGCATCTGAGGGCTAAACCAAGCAGGAGACAGACAAACAAACCATCCAGAGTTGCTTACAAATGGGCTTCACGTGCCTTTTCAATTGCACACACTTTTAAATACACCATCACTGTTAGGCTGGGGGTAGGATAAGACTGATTAACTGTCTGCCAGCTCTGGTCCATGCTTCTCCTCTGGGTAGGTCACTACTTTAGTTACACCCAGTCACAATTTGACCAAAAACACCTGTGTAGAGAGAATGTTAATTTCCTTTGCTCTGTACAGAACAGGACCACCTTTTGGTTGCTACCTGAAGAGTAATTCTTTCAAACTGCTCATCGTGCTTGTCTTGGTGTTTTATGAAATTTCAGTTCTTGAATTTCTTTCCTTAGATCATAGTGGGATATAGGTTTAGAAATTAGTAGGAGAAGGTTGCTCTGCCACCCAAAATTACAAAAATTGCCTGCCCATTATGCAAGTGATGGATTACTAAGGCAGTAATATCAGTAGTTATGCTCCTGGTGGAATAGATAATCTAGACATGAATCACCTTTTCTCTATTGCTGTATATTCAAAGCAAGTCCTTTTATATCTGACATCAGTGATTTCTGAAACCATCAGAGAAAAAAAAAAGAATATATAAAAAGAAGTCACATGAGAAGGGGAGGAAGTTTAAAGAGCTTTCCTAGGATTTTTAGTTGCCAGGGTAACCGTTTTACTCAGTAATCAATATGTTTGGCATGTTTCTATTGCTTTGTGACTACTCCCATAGACAACATTGAAAGGTGTTTAGGGAAAACACTGGAAGTGAAGAAAACTACAAACTTTGAAAGAACTGCTATGATATATATATATAAAAAAAAAAAAAAAAAAAAAAAAAAAAAAAAAAAAAAACTTATCCCCAAATAGCTTAAGGTTTTGTAAAGTTTTGTCATTATATAAATATATATATATAAGTAGTGTAGTAATTTTCTTTAATAGGTTTTCAGGATTTGGTAGGATCCTTTGGAGTATAACAGTTTCAGTACAATGCCTGCCAAGTTGAACAAAAACTAGAATTTAGCTGTTTCCATTTTAAACATATTGCATTGTGCCAATTGTTCTGTTGCAATCAATGAAGCACTACCTTTAAGTGAGCAACTCCGAAATTTAAAAAGTAAATATACCAAGCCCACCATCAAGCTACTTTAGAAAAATATCTGAGCAAAGTTACCTATTTAAGTTCATTTTTAATAAGACATTACAAATACTAGGCAGCAATCCAATGTACATCATTAAGAAATTCAGGAGTGTAATTCATAACATTCATGTAGTTTTCTATCCAAGCCTTTCAGAGAATTTTTAGCAAATGCAGGTATTACCCATATTGTTCTAAAGACAGACATACACTGGCAAAAGAGGTAGAACTATTTCCTTCAAGCTTTCACGGCAAAGCAGGACGTGACTTGTCAGTGCAGCTATGACTTATCCTTTTGTTGACATTTCCATTGTTCTCATGTCTGCAGTTGTATGGAGCAGAAGTTTATGACCTGGCCTCTAACTCATCTGCTCCTTCCCCATTTCTTCTCCTTCTTAGGCTGCTGCATTACAAGGTCTGCATCAGATGCCCGTGGTGAAGTTGGCCTAGGTTAAGGAAGTTGCATTACCCCAAACCCTCCATTTCTGAAGGAAAACAGCAGGAGGGCTTTCATGCACTCATCATTTTTCAAAGGTTCTTCCCACCCCTGTGTTCTGAACAGCTCTTACAGCTATGAAACGTCAAAATGCTAGAACTATGTATTCAGTTTAGCCTATTTTTTCTTACAGCCTTTTTCAAACAGAGAATCTTCAAAAACTTCACAGCTCAAGATAAAATTAGAAAATTTTTTAAAGAACTCGCTGCAGTGATGGCAGGATTGCAACAGAAGAGACATAAGGAAATATGTTAGAACAGAAAAGGAAGAATTTTTTATTAAAATGAATGCCTGTTATGGATGGGCAATTCCCATAGCTACAAGGCAAAAAGAAAGGGGGGAAATGCAAAAATACTGTTAATAAATTGACTGGGTTATTAATTTTATGCATTAGCATTTTCTTGGTTCATAAGCATAATCCCATGCTTATGGAATTCCATAAACATTGTTCTGTGCTGTTTCGAGATGGCATTGCACAAATTTTGTGGTGTCTAGATACCTCATGTGAAAAAATCTGCTGTGCAAACAGTTCTCACTGCACTGATCTGAATTTTCTTTCTCTGAAAAACAGTCAGAGGCCTCAGTGACGAATTTAGTGCTCCTGTCAATTTAGGCTCCCAGAGATAGGCCTTCTGCCTCTCATTGATCTTGCCCAAGGCAATCAGCAGTGCGGTTAAAGGCTTTTTCCCTCCTGGGAAGTGCTGTAAAATATCTGAGCTACCCAGCCAGGTAGTTGCTTCATCTGTGGCAGTTGTCTTCCTGCATCTTCCATTATCTGTAAGTAATTGCTACTGTTGTTGTTGTTTTCTACTGTAATTAATGACACCTTTTGTGGCCATACCGGCGGGATCAAGAGCTCAGGTACCACCCGCCTGAGGAAAAATAAGCCTGCGGAGTGCGGGGCTGTCATGCCCGTATCTGTTGTTTTGTGATAAAGAAAAGGAGAACATTGCATTTGTAAACAGAATGGCAAAGGCTCCCTATCTCTGCCCAGAAAAAAAGGAAGGGCAGCAGGTTTGCTGTGAAGCTACAGACTCCGCAATGCTCAGCTCCCTCCAGGCAGGCCCATGCTGCGGTTCCCGGAGCTGCCATGCACCCAGCGCATGTGTGTGTGTGAAGCGATGGGTAACAGGGGGGCTTTTACATGGTCTGATGCAAAATAACTCACTCAGGACTGCATTCAGACATTTGGCAATCAGTCTGTGCAGACCTCTGTGCTGTGACAGCCAGAGCAGCAGCAGTACAAAGCTTCAGAGGTGGGTTGCATACGTTTGTGGAGCTTACAGGTGCTGGCAGTGTTAATCTCTGAGCCCTTACCAAGGCAATGGTGGGGTTTGCTTTTATCTTTCTTCAAGCCACAACTCCCAACAGCGTAAGATTTGTGTGCGTTTCATCCTCCGTAAAGAAAGAAAGGCAAACCCACTTTCTTATCCTCATGCTTGCCAACACAAAAAACACCCCATCCCTTTCCCTCATATAATTTTCATATAGTTGGTTTCCAACACCTTAATAAAGTCTGTTCTGCCAGTAGAAGCTGGGAACTTGGTGCTACCAATTTTTTCAGGTCTAGCCCATCTTGGCCACTGTGACCGGGAGGCCAGGAGTGCAGACCTGGTACATTTCCCTTAGAGACCTTCCTGATGTCTAATTTCTCTCCTTCACCATGTGCCCATATATACTATATATTAGTTATTTAAAAATATATCTTAAACTAGAGTTAGTGTTGAGAATATATACGGGTACATTAAGGCAATAAAACCTCACGGGGTTATTATAATCATTCCATAAAGAAACACGGCAATCCCAGTGACTTGAAATTGAGCATAAAAGAAATGAAATTAGGTTAGAGATAGGGAAAATGTCTTCATATAACCTTTACGAGGCTCTCTAGTGAGATAGTGAGAATTTAAAAAAAAAAAAAAAAGCAGCAGTTTAAACTAAAATATCTTCATAAGCAAGCAATCATTGCTTCGTGCTCCTACATTGATGAAGTACAGTGTATTTTAAGCAGGCTAGCTGTCAGTGGGCTAAACTTAATTAGTGGTGCTGATTGCAAAGGCTGGGTCAACTCTGCCTTGGTTCACAGTGCTCTTCAGAGCCAGGTTGCTAGATGCTGGAAGCTACAGTGAAGACAAAAACTGGGCTTTTGTTTGGATGAAGCTTTCCCAGACTTGTTGAGAGCATGCTCTGCTCGCTCTCTTCTCTTGGAAGAAATTTCATTGTTCACACTTGACAGCATTCTGTTGTCTGCAGATGTTTCTTAATTGGTTTTGGTTTCGATGACACCCATATGAGACCTACAAAATGAAAAATAAAATGAAATTTGATTAAATGTTATGGAAAAAGAGCTAAGCATGAAACTGAGAGATTTCATGAGCAAAGCAAGGAAAAAATAAATAAGTCACAGTGGGATGTAAAATGGCTAGATTATTATGGTGCACATTCATTTCCATATTGCATTTACGTTCAGCAGTGTTGTGATATGCTGACTGTACAGCACAGATAATAATAATATCAAAATCAATCAGGCTTCATGGGTTCCAACATTTCCAAAGGCAGCTTGAACTGTGAGGTGATCTAGCTTCCCATGCAACTGCAAAGGTAGCAATCAGCTCATGTTCAGCCGGGCTCAGTTGTAGCCACAGTTCAGTGACATGACTGATTTTTTGTTAATCCCCTCCTGAGTATCGATTGCCATCTATTCCACTACTACTTTTACCTCTGACAATTTTATTCCCACCTTTTTTTATTCCGTGTTGCATCACTGTCATTTACCAGTAATTTCAAGCTTAGTGTCTTTACAAGACAAGTCCTACACTTCTATTACCACCCTCTGGCAATTCTGTTCCTCCATTTCTGCCCCCTTGCCATGCACACGTGCATTGGAGTATTATTTTACTCATTCTTCAATTAGTTTTGTTCTCAGAATGAAATATCCAGTGGGCTCTATTATTTATGTGATGAAGTGTATCACAAATACTGTTGTCCTAAATTATACCATATAGTAGTAAGACATATGTAATGTAGGTATATAATGGTAGCTTGAAGCAGAAGTGGACTCACCTTGATTACCCTTCTGATATTGAGCTTTTGCATTGGTTTAACTTCCTAGATGAACTGAAGTGTGGCAAGGGGATGATGGATTTCACTTGTGTGTTCACCACGTCTGCTGTAGGTACTACGTATTTTGCTATGAGACCGGCTTGGACTGCTGCATTTTAAGCAGGCAGAGCTCCACCAAGGAGGGCAGAAGGCAGCAGGGAAGGATGTTTGTGTAGCCTGAGCCAAATATGAATCATATCTAACTCAGATGTTGTAGCAGGGATCCTGTGATGGCAGCAGGGCTGGAGGATCCTCAGAAGAGCAGGGAGGGCAAACACACAGCCAGACCTCAAAGGTGATGAAAGATGTATGTTCTCCCAGGGAGAGACACTAAAGTTTCCTGCAATTAGGAAGCCACCAAGGGTTGTTGGCCTGTGAGTAAGACTGAAGGAAGACCTACCCTGAAGAACAGGGGGCTGGGGATGTGGGGAGGAAAAGTTTTGTTTACATGATTTTTTGTTTTAATCTGTTTCAGATGCAGCTGATTCGGGTTTACTTGGCTGCAACCTTACCCTATTCTGTAGCGAAACAGAGGTGCAGAGACTGAAACAGTTTTCATGTGCTCACCAGAAGGACAAAGTGTATGCAGATCTACCTCAAAGCGCTGTCTCACATAGGATTGTGTCACATTAATTCGAGTAGAAGTCCTTTTTTTTCCCCTCTCATACCTCATTCAAAGCCCCTCTGCTATGCCCTGTTTGAACAAAGCACATGAAATCCAGCCAGGCTGCTACCACAAAAGCAACCCACTGCTCCAGAAACCAACACCAGTCCTCACACTGTTTGTCTGCTTTCTTGGTGGTTTGTGCGTGCATCTAAGTACCGAAATCACCCTCAGCCCCCTGCTGAGGACCCTCAAAAGAGAACAAGTCACTGCTGAATTCAGACTCCCTTTGGCTACGTTATTTATTCTGATGCAAGCACAATTTAGAGTTCTCTAGATAGCCAGTCTTTCAGTGGAAAGGAGAGCCCTATACTGCTAGGGATATCATCTACAAGGTTGAGTTTACTTCAGTCCCGATCCAAGTTATTCATTGATTGGTAAGCTTTATTTTCCTTAGCCCAGGAGTAGTCATCAGCTCACACAGTCCAGCTAATTGCTGGTCTTCCTTCTTTCTCTTCTCATCTGTCAGGGCTTCAGGGCTCTGCACTTGTTTCCTTTCTATAACTCATACAGCTCAAACTTTCCTCTCTTCTTTTCCCCTGCCTGAGAGAAGCTTCAGTGTGGTTATCAAAATCCATACTGATGCTTCATGATTTTTCAGTAACAAATGTTAGTGCTGCAGATGCAGTTGGTTCCCTTGGATAGTTTAATAATCATTCTATAGCAGTAGTTACATTTTATTGTAGCACCTCTCCCAACTTTTTGCAAATGTCAGTGCTGCTTCACAAATTCAGCTGTCTTCTTTTACCTGTTCTCCCCTTGATCTGATATTTTGATCCATCTGAGTCTAGTCCAGACTGTGCCTAGGGCCACTGTATTTAGCCAGCTGCAGGCTGGTCCTCAGAGGGACGAAATCCACATTTTAGATCACGACTGTTCTTTGTACACCTTCAAACGCAAGGTTATTAGAGCCATTGATCAAAATACATAATAAATAAAGCCTGGCTCTCCCTGGTGCTAGATGCTGTACTAGATATAGTGTTTTTGTTTGCCACCTTCTACTCTGCCCTCAGCCAGGTCCACGCACCTTTTGATCTCTGCTCTGCGAGCCTCCTTCTGTCCAGGTGGCACGTCACATCGACACGCTAATGAGCCTGCAACTCCAACAATGCCACATATGCTACCGGTATAAATGCTAAACACACGCGTTCACATGCAAAATATATTCTGAAAGATGGGCTGATTATCATGAAGAGAATCGGGAATGCGCAGATGGCCGCTCCACGCCTGGGCCTGCTCTCCACGGGGTGACCCCTGCTCCGTTGTGCCATGAGAGCCCATTATCCTGGCAAACAATGCAGATACAGCCAAAGTCGTATCATGCATATGTAGCATTGGAGAGTTTTTTTCTCTGACTGTATCAGTATGCTGGGCTCCTCAGTTTCAGAGGTCACTGTTGCTCAGATAATGTGATTTTTTTTTAATTTACGGAATGATATTTGGTGAATGCTCACATAGCACTGTAATCTCGTTGGGTTTTATGTATTTTCTATGTGCTGTTTCAGAGACTGCCAAGACACTGGCCTTGGAATGTGGCTGATGTGTGTCCATAGGACACAGTACACTTGAGATCACACAGACTTTTCTCATTAATGCCACTATGCATTTCCAAGACAAGCCAGCGTGTAATTCCCTCTCCAGCATAGCTGAAAAGCAAAGGGCTTGAAACCTCTAATGAAACTTACAAGGAAGAAGTGTGGGATTTTTTTGATTTCCCACATTTCTGCCCCATTCTCTGCAGCTATTTCACCTGCAGCATCCTTGCCTTTTGGCCTCGCATTCTGCCCTCCTGCCATAGGTGTGTAATAGCACCAAAAAAATGAGTCCTCTCTCTTTCAGCCTTTCTGACTTAAGTACTATGTGACTCACATCCTTACTTAAGTATCTTTTTCCTCAAGCTTTTATTTAAGCTTTCCTTCCCATCATGTTCCAGTTTTTCCGCATAATTCTCACCTCTTGTGTCTGTGAGGATGCTAAGTCTGCCTTCTCTCGCTTGCTACACATCATCTTACTTGAGACAGTATCTCAGCTTCCTCTGCCAAAATCCATTTTTCTTCTCATTTTGAAAAATATACTGTCTCAGGCTCTGAGCACTCATTTTCTTCTAAGTCCAGTGTCTCCAGCCAGAGCTGGAAGCAAGAGAGTTGTACCTTCTGCCTCTGTTGTTGCTGCCTCCCTCCAGTCAACAGAAGGACCTAGAAAAATTCCTGTGTTGCATACAAATACCGTGTACTTCCAGAGCTGCTCTACTCTCCTCTAGCCTTCTGGTGTCTTCTTTTCATCTTGTCAGATTTGTTATTTGCACTCTTTACACTCCTGCATCATAACTATTTCCTCTCCTTCTCTATCTTTAGCACCAAGAGAAAATCTGCATTTCCTTTGCCATTAAGCGTGTGAGTGCCTATACATCTCAGGATATCCCCACTGCGTATTCCCATTGCAAAGTCCAGGCTAGAGCTAGCGTCTGTGGTGGTGAAGATCCATCTCTCCACTCAAATACATGTCAGATTTACCTCCCTCTGCACTGCCCATGCTGGCGGTCATAGGCAAAGAACCAGGAGAGTGTGTCAGATTCAATCTAAATTGTGTACACATTCAGCACAATAATGAGATTGCAGGCACAGGCATTCTAACCATTATGTTATATGAAAATTATATTTTCATATTTTCCCAGATGAAATATCATTCATATTCCATCTCTTCTTTCTGCCAGAAAGGTCTGGATGAGAATCATTTTTATAATCTACTTTCAATTACTACAATCACACAACCATAAAAGCCCTACTAAGATTAAAAAAATAATAAAAAAAAAAAGAAAAGAAAAGAAAAAAAAAAAAAAAACTATTATAGAACCTCATAAATGAACTCTTAAATTGCTGTATTACATTCATTACCTAGCTCAGTAGGCTCTCAATGGTTTATTATCATTTTAAACTCCACAAAAAGTGCACCCCTCAAAGAGCAGAAAATCTTCATGCCATCATGTTATTGTTTGTCAAGTTAATGTAAAATCATTTCATAAAGAATACATTTTCAGTTTTCAGAATTTTTCTGTTTTTAGGTTCATTTTCTGGGAAAATAACGGATGGCAAACTGATTATTGCAAAGATAATCAGTTGTTTGGAGTGCTGAATATTTTATTCACTAAAAAAAAAAAAAAAAAAAAAAAAAAAAAAAAAAAACCACTGTTTAAACCATCCCTCATCAATTGCATATTTTTATTTGAATGGAATATTTCAAAATCTGAAAATTTATTTCACTGAGGAATAAAAAAGAGCTTGATTTTGTGTCACTTGCAAGTGACATTTTGGTATCATTAGAGAAAACTTGTGGAGGCACTGTGGTCACCCTCTCATTTCAATGATACAGATGCAATTCAGGGAGCCTAATGTAAACAGCAAGTACATTTTTATGTATTGGGCACATGTAAAAACAAAATACCAAGTATGACCTCAGTGAAGATCCTACTGACTACAATACAGAGAAGTTCAGAGTCCGGTAACGGCACTGCAAAATTTCCTACCACATTTC